CCCCAAAACCCCAAAACCCCAAAACCCCTTAAAGGTGTATTAATCTAAATCAAGAGATAGTACAAAAAGTGTCAATAGAGATTAAAATGTTAATTTTAAAGCTATCACGCTTGCATTTTTCAATTAAAAATTCATTATTAAAAATGCCTCCAAAGACACCAAAAGTATCAAATCCTTCTAAGTCTATTGTATAAAAATCTTATATATATTTATAATACTTTAGGAAGAATCTAAAGGTAATGCATAGCCAGACAATCAAAAGAAAAGAGATTAGAAGGCAGAGTAAAAGTAGCTCTCTGATTTCTTCAAACAAAATAAGTCTGCACAGGTAGATGCAGACAAATAGGATCAGTCTTAAAATCCGATAAACGTACAAATAAATGTCAACAGCAACAATGAGTCAAAGCTTAAAATTTTTCATTGGAATGTGAATGGTATTAGAGCTGTCCTAAATTCTGGAAAGCTTGCTGAATTCTGCAATAAAGGTAAGTATGGCCTTCAACATGATATATTTTGCCAAAAAGATATCATTTTCTGCTCAATAGTTCTGATCAGTATTTAATCTAATTTTTAGCAAGACCAGCAATACTATGTTTGAATGAAACAAAGATTGATGAAGTGACTTTGAACAATGAAAACGTTAAACTAAGCTGTGCAAAATGGTTTCCAGTTGATTACTAATATTGGAACTGCTGTAAGCCACCTACTAAGGGATATGCTGGCACTGCAATTTTAGTTTCAAAAGAATTTGGAGGTTCAAAGCCTTTAAGAGTAGAATATGATATTGGAATTGCAAAACACGGGAGCGAGGGAAGAGTGACAACTGCTGAGTTCGACTAATTCATTCTGGTGGCCACATATGTCCCAAACGCAGGAGTTGATGGCCTTAAAAGATTGAATTACAGAGTAAAGGAGTGGGATGTTGACTTCTAAAATTACCTAAAGAAATTAGAATAAGACAGCAACAAACCCGTGATATTATGTGGAGATCTCAATGTTGCTCATCATGAGATAGATATATTTGGACCAAAGGGAAAAGAAAAGCGAGCAGGTTTCACTGTAGAGGAGCGTAATTCCTTTGGTAACTTCTTGAAAGAAAAGGGCTTCGTTGATACATTTAGACGACTCCATCCTAATACTGTAAAGTACAGCTACTGGAATCTAAGAAGTGGAGCAAGGAACAAGGACCAAGGTTGGAGATTAGATTACTTTGTAGTAAGTGAATCAATGATGAATGCAGTAGTTGATTCAGAAATAAACACTGAGTATTGGGGTTCAGATCATTGTCCACTTTCACTAACTGTAGATACTGACTAAATTTAGCCTGTAATTTTGAATGGTCAGCCGCCATTAATAAAGAAGTAATAAGCAAACCCAGAGGAAAAGAAAGACATGATAAAATCTTCAGTCTCATAAATAAAAGTATCTGTTCCATAAAAGTAAAAAGCCCCATTTATTAAAGGTCTTGTTGATTGAGGACTGCTATTTTGATATAAAAACCTTTACTAGAATCAAGATTAAAATTAAATACCTCACTTGAAATCAGATTACCTATTTGGCTGAAATAAAAATATTCTAATTTATTAATAATTCTTGCATTAATAACTTGAAACTTTTTAATATTTTCTCTGCGGGGTCTTGGGGTTTTGGGGTTTTGGGG